ATACCCTACAGATGCTCCCCTTCAGATCCTGGTTTCCATCCTACTGTGAGAAACCTGCCTGCATTTCCCCAGACCACACCACTCTGAAAAGAGGTGCCTTTGAAAGGAAAGGAAGAGTCAATCATAGAATCATTTGTAGAATCTTAGAATCATAGAATCATAAAATCAATCATAGAATGTGTTGGGCTGAAAGGGAACTTTAAAGGTCATCTAGTCCAACCTCCCTTCAGTGAGCAGGAACATCTTTAAGTAAATCAGGTTGCTCAGAGCCCCATCAAGCCTGACTTTGGATGCCTCCGGGGATGGAGCCTCCACCAAGTCACAGCACCGGGCGCTGTTGGGACAAGCAGCACTCACCTGCAGGCTGTCTCCAAGAAAGGAGGTTTGGGGTGGGTCTGAAGATCGTCGGTCTGGTCTCCACTCCCCTGATCTCCTCATCAGCTCACGGCTGACCTGGGCTTGTGCAGTATTTCCAGCTTGTTGCAGGGAGATGCCTCCGGGGATGGAGCCTCCACCAAGTCACAGCACCGGGCGCTGTTGGGACAAGCAGCACTCACCTGCAGGCTGTCTCCAAGAAAGGAGGTTTGGGGTGGGTCTGAAGATCGTCGGTCTGGTCTCCACTCCCCTGATCTCCTCATCAGCTCACGGCTGACCTGGGCTTGTGCAGTATTTCCAGCTTGTTGCAGGGAACAGATTGAAGACCAGAGAGGCTGGATGGCCTGGAGAGTGCAGATTCCGGCAGCTTCGCCTCTCTTTAGGGGACAGAACCATGGGATCGTCCACCTCCCGACCCCTTGGCGACTGCTCCCATGCCCTGAAGCTGCCGGCGGGCGTGTGACCTCATCTGACACTTGAATTCGGGAGCTCCCTCCCAACGTTCCTACAGTGCCCCGGGCCTGTTTGCATCTCAGGATCTGCCACATGTCCCCTCCCTTCGGCCAGCTGCAGAGGGGTGATAAGAGCCTGCTGCGCCCCTGGCAGAGACTCTATCGTCCCACGGCAGGATGCTCGGAGCCCTCCTGGGTCAGCGGCACCACGTGCACCTCCAGCCCCATGGGATGTCACTTGGGGACACCCACCACAGCCCAGTGGCTGTGCTCTGGGGAAGCTGACTGTGATGAGGGGAGAGGTCTGGCTCCTTGGAGGCGCTGCTTGCCCGGATTTGTCGTGCTGCCATGTGTTGCCTCGATTGCTCAGTCGGTAAATGGGGAACAGTGGGTGCTGGGCTTTGTGTCCCACCTCACATCGGTGTTCTCCAGCAGCTTTTCATGCGCCCAGGGATGACGACCTCACCCCCATTTTTAGGGAACTTAGGAGGTGATATTCACTCTGCTTGGTCACATCCCATCCAAAGCCAATGGACAAGCACAGAATAAAGCAAAATGCGAGGGAACGTGCTGCCAGATGGCTCTGCTGCCTGGCGCTGGGGTGGCAGGGCTGGGGCCAGACTGGCTCAGCACACAC